CCCATGGGAAAATTTCGCGAAATTGAGATCGTTTCGCAATTCCCATTTTTCTCCGTTTTCCTTCGTTTTTCATCATTTTTGCTCAAATTTTCGTGGTAATTAATCGAAAAAAAATCAATTTTATAATTTTTGTAATGTTTTATTGCCTGTTCGAACAATTTTCGATAGAAAATAGCTCATTTTGGGCGAATTTTTGGGATTTTCGAACTTTGTGGGAAACAGCTAAATTGTGATTGTTTCCTTCAATCGATTATCTAGAAAATTGTTTAAAAAGGAGAAAAATTTAAATTACCTCGAAAATTGAGGAAAATTGAGAAAAATTGGGAAAAAGATGAAGGAATATTGAGAAACAAAGGGAATTGAAAAAGAATTAAAGGTGGAGGGACAGGAGATTTTTCGTAGTTTTTTTGTAGCTAGAGTATGCATTCTACCGTCACGGTGTACAACGCTTAATGTCACTCTGCGTACAGCTGTCATCTTCGCCTTTATGTGTGCAATCGGGCGTCCGCTTTCTCTTTGCCCGCGTGGCTCAGTCGGTAGCGGCGCCGCACCCTCAATCATCGCCCTCACAAGTTCAAATCCTCGAGGAGCATATTTAAACGGAATTTCGAGAAAATAATTTTTTCATGTCCCCCCACCTTTAAGAAATAAAATTGAGAAAAATTGGAAGTGAGGAAAGTATCGACTGGCAGTAAAATCCGTTTGTGAAATTTGTTAAAATCATTTCACAGTTCTCCATTGTCTTTCTTGAAATATTGAGATTCTGAAGTCCTGAAGTTGTGAAGTTCCGAAGTTCTGAGATTTTGAAGTTTTAGAATTCTCAGATTCTGAAGATCCGAAATTCTCAGATTCTCAGATTTTGAAGTTACGGAATTCTCAGATTGCGAATTCTGGAATTCCAAAGTTCTGAAATTCTAAGAATTCTGAAGTCCCGAAATTTTCAGATTCTCAGACTCTGAAGTTCCGAAATTCTCAGATTCCGAACTCAGAGATTTTCAAGCTCTGAAATTCAGAAATTCAGAAAGTTCGTCAAAAAAAATTGTACCCCCGAATCACAAACGTTGTACCCCTAAATGAAATAAGTTGTACCCCAGAATCATTGGTAGATTATACCCCCGAATCGTTGTACCCCCGAATCACCAATTTGGTACCCCTTAATCAGTTGTACCCCCTTGTACGCCCGAATCATTGTACCCCCCGAATTTTTTGCCAGACAATTAGACGCTCTCGTTGTCTGCGCTCTCCTCCCTTCCCCACAGTCCTTAGTCGTCTAAACTTCAAATGCCCGTATCTTGGCTTTTAGATGAGCTAGAAACTTCGTTTTTCACTTTTTCAAATGAAATTTTCCAGATCTTCGGCTCTCGGAGCTCCGGAGTCATTCGAAGTCTAGCACTGTCCCCTGGGGATCACTATGTAGCCGTTGGAACTGATGAAACCATACAAATCTTTGATGCCCGGCAAAGAGAATATATAAAAACGTTTAATTGTTCGGTTAGAATTTTCATAAAATATTTTTTGGATTACTGTAGTTTCTTCAGGGTCACTCTCTGGAATTGCATCCCAGCGATGTGTTGTTATCAGCTGTTGGACATGACAGGATAGTTCGATTTTTTTGTTTGGAATCATTTGAACTGATATCTCAATCCGATCCGTTTTTGGACGATATTCAAGCTAGCGCTTTTGATAGTATGTTTGAAATTGGTTTGGCGGGAAATTCAAAATTTTGAAAATCCTAAATTCTGAAATTCGGAAAATCGAAAATTCTGAGATTTTGAAATTCTGAGCTTCCGAAATTCTGAAATGCTTAGGTTCTAAAATTCTGAGATTTTCGAATTTGACGCCAAAACGAAAAATACAAATTTCAGCTCACGTCATGATAGCCGCCACCAATGACTCAATCAACCTCCTAACATGGGAGCCTTGCTGTGATGTCCTAACTACAGTACCCCTAAAAAATGTGGAAAAGGTAAGAAACTGAGATTGAAATTCATAAAAAACTACATGAATGGGTCCAACTTTCATAGTTCTAGCTCATCTGGGAGCCGAGATACAGCGGCTCGAAGTTTTCGGGGAGACGCAGACGGCGAGACACTCTGACTGTCTACGTCTCTCCTAAAGTTCAAATAAGCATATCTCAGCTCTTAGATAAGTTAGAAAGCTGGTTTTTCAACCAGTTTTTATGTTTTTCAGTAAATTTTATGAGAATTTCAAAAATTTAGAAAATTCTAAAAATTTTGATTTTTCAATTTTTTTTTGAAAACAGCTTTGTTAGCGAAATCTGAAAAAGCCCAAAAAACTAAAAAATCCTGTTTAATTTTCAAGTTTCTAGCTTGTCTAGAAACCGAGTTACAGCCATTTGAAGCTGTTAGGGTTGTCTCGTCGTCTGCGCTCTCTCGCTTCCCCACACTCTCTAGCTGCCTGAACTTCAAATCGATGTATCTCCAGTTCTAGATGAGCGAGAGAAGTGAAAATTGATAGGATGTGTGGGGAATCTTTTAAATTTTCTAGAAACTTAAATTAGTTAGAAGTTCAAAAAAAATATTTCCGAAAATTTCGGATTTTCTGAACTTTCAAATTTCTCGAAAATTCTGGGGATTTTGACACATTTTATGATTGATGAGTTTTTGCGCTGATCAAAATCCAAAATTTCGGAGATTTTTTGTCTGCGATAACCGTATTTCCGTTGTTATCCATCTTTATCCATTTTCATAAATCTCCAAAATACTAGAATTTTGCAAATTTTCCAATTTTCCAGGTCGTCAACGTGAATGCAAACGGTCTGGATTTGGATTTTATTTGCATTGGTGAGAACACGGAACGTCTCGAAATGCGCTCCTATGCTATAGAGGTACAGTAACCCAAAAAACAACTTTCTCGGGGAACTCAAAATTTTAGGAACTGCTATCGTACTCCCCTAGTCATGAACTCTGCGGGAGCATTTATGAGGAAGACGAAGATGTGGATCCAGTGGATTTGTCGCCTATTGAAGAGGTTGGAAATTGTAAAATTTGAATTTGGCGCCAAATTTTTGTTTAGACGGTTTTTTGAGTTTTTGGAAAATTTTGAAAAAACTTTTTTTTTTGATTCAAAAATTTGAATTTTTTTTTATTTCGAAAAAAATCAAAAAACTCTACCGGACCAAAATTTCCTCCTGAATCCATTTTTCAACTTTTTCCCCCCGAAATCCTCAATTTTCAGTCGAAACCCCTCCCCGAACTCACCCAACTCTCGGAACTACCTCCACGATCTCCCTTGATGTCTTCAGAAGAGACGGAGACGTCAGAGTCGCCAGTGAATAGTAGTAATGGAAGTAGTCATAGTAGTCCCGCAAGTCCTGCAAAGGTTAGTACTTCTTAGAGCTTTTTGGGGCCCAAAATGACCAAAAACTCGGTTTTGAAGACCTACAAATAGCATAGAAAGTATCGGGTAACATTTTTTGTCAAAATTTGAGTTTTCCAGTTTTTAAAGTCCTACAAAAGTGGTCCGAAATTTTTCAGTCAGTCTGCAACTTTCAGAATATACTAAGCAAAATAAGAGCTTCATTTTTGTAGTTGACAACTTTTTTGAAAAATCCAGTTCTGACGAGATATGCGCCTTTAAAAATGTCAACAAACTTTTTCAGCTTTTGTAGGGGTTTTCAAGAATAATGAAAAATGAATTTTGTAACATTTATGCAAATTTTTGATTTTACAAAAAAAAAGACAAAAAATCACAAATTTTGGTCAAAGAACGACTTTTCTAGCTCAACTGGGAGCTGAGATACAGCTGTTTGAAGATTACAAGTAGTTGCTTAGACTTCAAAAGCCTTATTTCGAGTTCTAGACGAGCTAGGAACTTGGTTCTTTGACGGAAATGTGTCAAATTTTGTTTATTTTCAAATTCTATCAAAAATTCGAACTTACCCGCTTAGCCTAATCTCTGAATTGATTTCTTCACAGCCACTTTTCAAATTTTGTTTGTTTTTCCAGCCGGCCCCCATCAAGCAACGCTCGACGTCTCAAAAATTCCCCAAATCTTCGACGTCTTCAAAATCTACGACATCATCTGTTTCTGCCAAAACTCTCAATACAAAAACCTCCACTTCAAGATCCATAACTCCAGTATCCACAAAACCTCCGACCACAAATCGGCCGGCGTATGGGACCGCAAAAAGTGTCATTGTATCCAGTAGACCATCGCTCAGCGGATATAATAGGGGCGGAGTTGTGGGCGGAGCCAATCCATCACCTTCGATGTCAGATTTAAGAACAACGAAGAGTATCGCGGGATCCACTACGTCCCTGTTAAGTGAAAGACAGCCAAAGAAGAGATCTACGTCAAGTCGGTAAGTCTGAACCTCAGGTTTAGGTCAGAATTTGAAAATAGAAGTAATTTCACACATTTCTGTCAAAGAACCAAGTTTCTAGCTCACTTGGGAGCTGAGATACAGTCATTTGAAGTTAGAGAGGCAGCTAGAGAGTGTGGGAAAAAGAGAGGGTGGCGGACAAGGAAACTCTCTAACTGTCTGCGTCTCTCCAAAACTTCAAACGACTGTATCTCGTCTCCAAGATGAGCTAGTGAACTGATTCTTTGGCAGATATTGGTAGTTTTTAGTCTATTTTCATGTTAGATATACATTTTTAGATAAGTTGACATTTTGATTTTTCAATTTCTCCAAAAATTTTGCAGACATCTGAAAATGTGAAAAAAACTATACAAAACAGCTAAAGTTTGATGTTTCTAAGTCACCCAAGAGCTGAGATTTGATCGTTTGAAGTTTAGAAGAGACGCAGACAGTTAGAGTGTCTCGTTGTCTGAGTCTTTATGATCCGAAGCTTCAAAATGGCTGTATCTCAGCTCCCAAATGAGTTAGAAACCTCAATTTTTCACAGGACTACTGTAATTTTTGTCAGCAATCTGAATTTACTAAAAAACATCAAGTTTTCTTTAAAATGTGTTTACCCCCAATTTTCAGCCGCAACCAGGAGCCCATCACCATCACCTACCTAGGTCGGCCGCGGACTCCCAGCGAAGGTGACGTGGCGAATTCTGTGACGTCATCATCGTCAAGGAATAGAAGACCATCCCCATCGGTAGCCAAGAAGACGTCGCCGCCATCCATCTACGCTATCACTTCATCGCCAGCTAAAAGAGCCGGATCTGTTCCAGTCAAAAAACAAAACTCCACGTCATCTGTCACATCGACGTCTTCTATTTCAAAAGGAATCTGGGGAGGATGTATAGAGGCAATTCATGAGATCGGTGTCGTGGCGAAACGAGAGAATAGAAGTGAGAAAATTCAGAAATAAATTTTTGAAGAATCAAATTTCCAGACATTCGCCGTCTGAAACTACTCACTTCCAGAAGACAATCCACCACCGACGTGCCCCCAGAAGTGTCGGCTGATGAGCAATTGGTGCTCACAGCTACACGATTGCTCAGCCGACGGAATGATTGGTCGCTGAACACGTGTCACGCCTATCTTCCAGTTATTATAGGTGAGAGATTTGATTGTTTTGAATTTTAAATGCAAAAAGTTTCAGAAAATTTCTTATTTCATCCAAAAATAGACTAAAAATTACATTCATCAGTCAAAACACCAGTTTTCTAGCTCATTTGGGAGCCGAGGTACGGCGATTTGAAGTTTAGACGACTAGAGAGGGGGAGGGAGAGGGAGAGAGCGCAGACACCCAGACACTCTAAATGCCTGCGTCTCTCCAAAACTTCAAATAGCTGTATCTCGAGTTCTAGATGAGCTAGAAAGATGAATCATTCAGTAAAATGTTCAGAATTTTTTCTACTTTCAGAATTAAACGTCAGAAAATTAGAAAAAATTCGAAGATTTGAAAAAACAGTCATAAAATGTTTGTTTGATAATCTGAAAATACAGAAAATGTCACACAACTCCCACTGTTTTCACTTTCCTAGCTCATCTGGGAGCCGAGATACAACGATTGACAGCTTAGAAGAGACGCAGACAGTTAGAGTGTGCCGCTGTCTGCGCTCTCTCCCTTCCCCACACGCTCTAGTTGCCGAAACTTTAAATCACTATATCTCAGCTTCCAGATGAGCTAGAAAGATGAATCTTTTGGAGAAATATTCAGATTGTTTCCTTCTTTTTGATTTTCCAAATTGTAAATCCAAAATTTCAGACAACTTGTCAAGTGTGGACGCCACCAATCGATGTATAGCTCTGGAGGGTCTTGGAGCAATTGCTGAAACTCTGACAGAGAGATTAATCAGATTTTCTGGCGTAAATTCTCATAAAATTGGTGTGGATATTGTGGCCGAGGAGCGAGCGGAGAAAGCGAAAATTTGTGTGCAGGTACAGTAATCCAGAATATCGAAAACTCGAAAATTCAGAAATTCAGAAAAAATTAAATTTTTCAGCACCTCCGAGAAGTGGTCAAAAAACGCGATTGGCTTTATAAACAACTCGACGAGGACTCCATAATGAAATTGGACATAATTATGGAGCAATTAAAGAAATTATAATTTTTTGAAAATTTTTAATTTTTCTGTAACAAAAATTCCCAGTCTACCTCAATATTGTCTGTGATATGAACTGAATTTTTGTCATTCCTTTTTTCCCTAATTTTTTAGTCTTTCAATTTCCTAGATTCGATTTGTAGAACAACTTCTGGGTCCACGCATTTTTTTTTGTCTTTGCACAGGTAGCCCCCCTCTAATTTTCTGGAAACAAATGTTCATTTAATAAAGTTAATTTTTTGAGCAAAATTCGAAAATGTACAAAAAACAACACAAAATAGTGAAATTTTCAGTTTTCTAGTATTTCTAGAACCCGAATTCATGCGTTTGAAGTTTAGGCAACCAGATAGTGTGTGGGGAATGGAAAGAACGCAGACAACGAGAGCACTCTAACTGCCTGCGTCTCTTTAAAACTCTAAACGGCTCCCAGATGAGCTAGAACGCTCGGTTATTGACAAGGGTGTGCCACGGCCGGCCGCGGCCAGCCGCGGCTGGCTTTTACTACGGCCGAGCCGGCCGCGGCTTCAGAAAAAATATTTGAAGAAGGCGCGGCTAGCCGAGGCCGGCCGTGCCGGCTTTTCACGGCCTATTAAAATAATTGTTTCATAAAAAACGTAGATTTTTTTTTAAAAAATAGGACAAAAAAATAAATTCTTAATAGCCGCGGCCGGCCTCGGCTAGCCGCGGCTTTTCACGGCTTTCCTATAAAAGCCGCGGCCGGCCTCGTTCTCAAAAATCGAGCCGCGGCCAGCCGCCATTTTGCACAGCCTTGGTTATTGATCAAATGGGATCTTTTGAGTATTTATGGGGATCTTTACTATTAACAATCACCAAATTGTCTGTGTGTCCGTTTGTTCCCGGTTCCACGACCCTAGCGAAGTCCCCAGTAGACCGAAAATTTTCAAATTTTCACAGATGATCCGAAATAGCAGCGAGATGATGCCCGTCTATTTTATGTTTCAAAATTTTGAGTTTGACGCCTTCTGGAAACGTCCTTCTATTTCTACAGTGCAAATCTTTCAAAAATAATATTTACGGCTTTTTTTTTATTCTGACTTTCTGAATCCCCTAACTGCTCAATATCTAAATTTCGGAAATTCTGATTCACGAAATTTGATTATTTTTTTCGGAAATGCGAAATTTCTAACCTTTCCTATACTTCAAACATTTTCGTTTCACTCTGAAATTCTAAAATTCTAATTCAGAAATTCGGAAAATTGGAAAAACGGGAACTCGAAAATACCGAGATTTGAAACTTTGGAAATTTTGAAGTTTAAGTGAGATTTTCTGAGCCAAATTCAAATTTTCTGATTGATTTCAACTCCTCCAAAAAACGCCTTAGTTCGAAGTTTCACAAAAAAATGTCTTGCGATGGTAAGCCCCAAAAAAAGGAATTCAATATCTAACGGTTGCTTTTAAAGGTGGGGGGGGGACATGAAAAAAATAATGTTCTCGAAATTTCGTTCAAAGATGCCCCTCGAGGAGTTGAACTTGTGAGGGCGATGATTGAGGGTGCGGCGCCGCTACCGACTGAGCCACGCGGGCAAAGAGAAAGCGCACGCCCGATTGCACACATAAAGGCGAAGATGACAGCTGTACGCAGAGTGACATTAAGCGTTGTACACCGTCACGGTAGAATGCATACCCTAGCTACAAAAATCCTACGAAAAATCTCCTGTCCCCCCACCTTTAAGAATTTACAAGAAACCCTTTTCAAAATCATCTGGACCCATTTCTATCAACTACACCACAATTAAGTCAGTCGATTGAGTCAACAGCTTGAGCTGCACATGTTCCTTCTGCTGTGTCGTAAGGTACAGGATCACATTTGGTGGCATCAGTTGGACAATGTTTTTTTGAAAAAGTCGTATCTGAAAATACTATTATAATTCTCCTGTACTTTCTATGAAAAACCTACAGTGCCTTTCCTAGGTATGTCATGGAATTGAGGTTGAAATTTAAAATTTTTAAAAAACTCTCCTGAAAAAAGAAATAAGTCCAACTTTGTTTTTTCTCGCCGGAATCTCCCATCCATCATTGTGTCAGCAGTTTTTGGTAATTCTTCGTGGCAGTAATCTTGTCTTTTGCTTTTTCAGTTTTTCCTTTAACCGTTTATAGCAACGAATCTAGGGAACTAAACTAGTGCTGTGCTAGAAGAAGGGTCCCAGAACGGTCAGTGGCAAATGGGTTGAATTCGTGGCACAAAAAGTTTATAGTTATTTTGTTCACCGGAAATTACAAATTTGTAGGCCAAACTACATTCTTTTTGTTGGTCAAACTACAATTTGTAGCTCGAACTACATTCTTGTCGTTCTCCGATTTTTCGAAAATCCCTTTTCGGAAGATTTTTGATGCTTCCAATCAACAGAAACCAAGCCCCGAGATTTATTTGTCTTACAATATTGTGTAGATCGAAAATCAAACAATTTATGATGGCTCGGTTCCACAGACGTATCCCAGATAGCATCCACCTGATGTTGTAATTGCGGTGTTTCTGAAAAATAGTGAACTTTGAGCTCAATTATCTCACTTCCTATGAAAGATATCCAAAATTTGTCAATTGATAAAATGTTAATGATAACATGGTGAATATTATATTAAATAAAAAGTTTTTGATACCGCTTATAGGAACCGAGATAGCTGAGCTCAAAGTTTAAGCTACCGACAGGGCTACGCAGTTGTAGACGACGCATTTTGAGCTCAATTATCTTGGCTCCTATAAAAGACATCAAAAATTTTTTACCTTGTAAAATGTTGGAAATTTTATGATAAACATTTTATTAGTGAACAGCTTTTTGATATCTGTAATAGAAAACGAGATAATTGAGCTCAAAATGCAAGCTACCGACAGAGATACGCGGTTGCAGCCGGCGCGATTTGATCTCAATTATATCCGTTCCTATAATAGATGTCCAAAACTGGTCAACTGATAAAATGTTGGTAATATCGTGATAAACATTTTCTTACGCAGTATCATCCATTCCATAAGACGTCGCACTATTGACACGTAGGACGATTTCATTAGCTGGAGCTAGTGAACCATCTGGATTTCCTGAAAGCCACTGGTATCCAAGTTCCGGTGTGGAAAGGGTGGGGTCCGAGAATTCGAATGCCTGGAAATTGATATTTTTTGTATTTTTAGATGGTTTTCTCAAGAATTAAGTGCCAGAAGAATTCGAAGAAATTTTAAAGTATCTCTCGTACCCAAGAGGTTGTGGCAGAAGCTCAAAAGGTTCACTGTATTAGGTGTGCCATATCTCAGCTCAATTATATATCTTCCTGGGCAGATATCAAAAAATGGTCAATTGATAAAATATTCATCACATTATCAGCAGTATTTTATCAGTTGATCATTTTTTGATAACTCTTATAGGAACCGAGATAAGTTGAGTTAAAATAGGCTCCACAAATTTATTTGGAGTCAAAATTCATGATTTTCAGACAAAGTTAAGCTCCCGAAACTCACAGAAATAGTGTCACACGGACTAGTTGTGATATTTGTGCATGCTTGGGTTTTTAGGCCATCAACCCAGATTCCTGTGTAACTGTACTGAACGTTGTTGACTGGTCCAGTGTTGACAGTATTGTATATTGGAATGGCAAGGGCTGAAAATGAGAATTTCCAAATTTCAGAAATAGGTAAATAATCCCAAAATCCAAAATTCCTACCAGAAACATAATCAAATTCTGCTTGATTCTCCAGGCCACTTAAAATTGACGATGAGTAGTTTACATTGCACATGATTTCAGCTACAGTACGATTCGCACACGCGTAGTGTTCGATGACCTGGAAAGTGGAAACTACAGTAACCCCATTGTCAGCCATACTGTATTCCTAAGCTATAGAAGCTACAGTAATATCTAAACTACAGTTAACACCAAAGTGAGCTATAGTAACCCGCAGACAGTTGGACGCAATTCTACAAGGTCGTTCTAACAGCTACAGTAATCCCGGAACTACAGTATCCCTATGCCTCTTACAGTATCTCATGAGCCACAACGGTAACCCCAAAAACTAGCTACAGTAACCCAATGCCTCCTAATGTATCAACTACAGTAATCCAAAAGATACATTGAAGTAATTCAGTCGTCCAAACAGCTACAGTAAACCCATAGTTACAATTATATTGGAACTACAGTACCCCAATGCCTATTACAGTAACCCCCTAAACTACAATAGCCCAATTACCTGCATACACCAGGGTCCTTTTTCTCTTACAAACAGTGTGAAATTCTGGGGACATGTTAGCTCATCTCCATACGAAAATGTCCATGTTGGGGCCGAAAATGAGATACTGTAGTCTTGATAACTAGTGTTGGTGGGTGAGTATCCCTGGAATATTGATTTTTTCAAAAAAAAAAAGGTCTGAAATTTCTAAAAACCTCTAAATTTTCAGCACTATCCGTTGGACAAGTTCCCGTGGAATCGATTTTGAAAGCCACTCGTTTTTCCAAGTTCTTCGTTATCGTCTCCAGATTTCCGGCCTCAAATAGTTCACAATTGTTGTCGTAGACCGCCTGGGATTCTCTTTTTTTTAATCCTAGAAGGTTCCTTACCACACAGGTTGCCAAATTATAGCAGTACTGAATGCACTCTTCCCATGTGGCAGATGCGTCCAGTGGATAGATGGGATTACTGTACATTTCGGGTTCTCCGTTGGTGATGACCATTTTGAATGCTGGGGTGGTCTAAAATCGAGCTTTAAAAAAGGAAAAAAAAGAAAAACCCCAAGAGGGATCGAACCCCTGACCTTGCGCACTGTAGTGCACACCACAACACCAGGGCGCCGACTGTTGCCCGAAAAACCCAAATTCGAATATCTCAGCTTAAACTAATTGGCGGCTCTCAAAAACTGGTAAGGCATCTGATTGTTAGGGATCAGAGATGAGCGGAAGAGATTTACGGAAATTTACGGAAGACGGTTTATCTTCGAAATGAAAAATGCTACCAAAAAGCTGTCAACAGACAAAATGTAGATCTCAATGAGAGCTATCGATTGGTATTAAATATGTTTCAAAATTTTGTTGGATTATTCAAATAGAGTCTTTCTTCCGTCTTCCGTCTTCCGTGTGCCAGACGGAAGACGGAACACGGAAGAAACGCCATATCTCAACTCTCCATCACTATTAGGAGATAACTGTTATACCAATAAATAACTCTCATGGAGATCTACGGGGGTACGACGAATTCAAACGTTTTCAAAATCGAACAGACCTAAAATCGAACAGATTCAATTCAGAACAGTCCTTTTTTCGCACACGT